AAAATATGATGCCAAAACATTGGTTTCCTTTAAATAACTATAGACAATTCTAGAAATGGAAAAAAAAGGGAAGTTTACATTTTAGACTCAAAATCACGTACATTTAAAAATCTTTCTTTATTGATTTTACTAAGAGGCAACTTTAGAAATAAAGCTATTTAATAAAGCTAAAATACTAAACAATAAGTTTATAAAATTTAATGATCATATTGTAAATCACTGCCAGTTTTCCTAACAACTATCTCCTATAAAATTACATTTATATACCAAAAAAATCAAGAAATTTTCCCCTTGCAAATAACACATTTGGAGGCAGAAATGAGTAAATAATATTTGTATACAAAATCAGTAAGGAGTACTCTGTAATGAAAATAATCCTGAGGCAGGTACACTTTTTAAAAATGTTTTCATTCTTTAATATAATTCTAAGTAACAATAACAGTCTTATAGTATAATTTCTTATTCAAATAATGGTTTTTTTTAAAAAACTTACATTAAAAAGTTTCTTTTAAAAATAATTCTTACGTTGCTAGTTCAAGTGAATTTTTTTTTTTTTTTTTTTTTGAGACATTGGCTCGTTCTGCCACCCAAGCTAGAGTGCAGTGGCACATCTCAGCTCACTGCAACCTCTGCCTCCCAGGTCAAGCAATTCTCTGCCTCAGCCTCCTGAATATCTGGGATTACAGGTGCCTGCCTGCCACTATGCCTGGCTAATTTTTGTATTTTTAGTAGAGACGAGGTTTCACCATCTTGGCCAGGCTGGTCTTGAACTCCTGACCTCGTGATTCATCCGCCTCGGCCTCCCAAAGTGCTGGAATTACAGACATGAACCACCATGCTCAGCTCAAGTGAATAATTCTTAAAAATTGAAAGACGATTACTTATTTATCTAATATGCTTTTTAGTAGAGTACAGGAGTTGCTATGATCTGAATGTTTGTGTCCCCACAAAATTCACATGTTGAAACCTTAATTCCCAAGGTATAGTATTAGGAAGTGGAACCTTTGGGGGATGATTAGGTCACAAGGGTCCCAGAGAGCTAGCTCGACCCTTCCACTAGGTGAAGACACAGCTAGAACGCACCATCCGTGAACCAGTGAGTGGGCCCCTCACCAGACACCCAATCTGCTGGCACCTTGATACTGTATTTCCCAGCTTCCAGATTTAGGAGAAATAAATTTCTGTTGTTTATAAGCTACCCAGTCTCTGGTATTCTGAGATAGCAGCCAGAATGGACTAAGACAGGAGCCAAGTGATCAGCATGGTGTAAAAAGTCAGGGATTTCTAGATTTCCTGAATAATTTTTAAATATAAAATTGTAAACTGTTAAGATCACTACAGTATCTTTTGTTTAAAAACATGCTATGCAAGGATATATGAGTATTTGTATAAATAACAACAGCTAGTACATACGGTAAGAATAGTAGAAAAGGAAGGGGGACAATGTAGGTGATGAAAGAGGGAGAGGAAGACCCTGGGAAGAAGGAAAAAAGTGTGACGAGAAAAGAGAGAGAATATGCTTTAAGTTAATGTAGCCAATAAAAATTTAGATTGGACAATTTAGGAGATAGTAATTCATTCTACAAAAAGCCTACTTATGGGGCAAATTAAATGCAAAGTTTCATTCCATCTACAATGCAATATTATTTATTCATAAAAATATCGATCCATACCTATTTTAAAGAAATACATCTACACAGTAAAATATAGTTATGTAAAACTTTTGAGTTTACTAAGTCGGATCTAATTTTTTACTTGTAGCATCAATAAAATTTACTTCTGAACCAGTAACAATTACATACAAGGGTGAACAATTTAGCTCCCTGAAATTCAGCATCCCTGAAATTCAATGGAAAGGATTTTCTAATAACGTGATCACATTTTTAAATCTATTTAGGGCAACAGTTGAAAATATGTGATGAAGAAACAATAAATTATACAGAAGTACTCTTCTATATAATTTGCTGAGAGGCCAAGGCAGAAGGATCGCTTGAGGCCAGGAGTTCAGGACCAGCCTAAACAACACAGCGAGACCCCCATCTCCACAAAAATTAAATGAAATTAGTAAGATTTAAAATTAGCTGAGTGTGGTGGCATGGGGCTGAGGTTCTAGCCACTTGGGAGGCTGAGCGGGAGGAACACGAGCCCAGGAGTTTGAGGCTGCTGTAAGCTATGATTACACCACTGCACTCCAAACTGGGTGACAGAAGGAGGCCCTGTCTCTAAAATACATAAATAAATAAATCACGAACTGGTGGTATAGTGAGGAGCTTATTCCTTCCAAAACCTCTGAAAAATATTACTGGTCATGACTAAGAAAAGTGTCTCTGGAGTCCTAAAGTCAGAGAAAATAATTTTTTCCCAATAGAATTCTCCTATTCCACATAAGAAGTCTTGTAATTCCAACCTGCAGAAAGTTGCCATGCACTGTGACTTACTACTTTGTATAATCTAGTTCTCAACTCTTTATACTCATGTGCAAGAAACTCTCAATACCTCTCATTACACACAGTGATTTTCAACATACTAGAAATGAGTTGATTAAAAGTTAGGTCACTTTATGTATAAGGAAATACTATTCTCTGAGTTACATGATTCAAATAACTCACAAAACCATCTACACCACATCAAAGTGCAGATGGGGTACACAAGTAACGCCTATTATCAGCTACAAATTCATAAAACTTGGAACTTCCAGGAAAATCAAGTAAATATAAAGAATCTGAATTTAAATCCAACTAATATAATAAAAAAGTAATTTTTAAAAGCCTGATTAATTTTTCAGTTAAAATACTCACATAATACTACATACTTGACAACTTTTAGTAATTAAAATAATGGCTTTTAAAACTTACTTACAACTATTTAATGAGAACAGGTGACTAGAGAAGCATTTTATACCACAGATGATTAAATGGACTCACTTTGTTAAGAGGTCAGGAAAAAAATAAGTAAAAAGTAAAGTGAGTTAACAGATCAGTAAAATAATTTGGAAAACTATTCATTCTTCAAGAAAATTTTATACATTTCCAAGAACACTAAATTTTAAGCTTTTTAAGTCTTCAAAACTACTCTAAAATGTTTTATTTAAAAGATAAAAATAGCAATTACTCTTAAAAAACAACAAAGTAAAATTTTGAGATACAAAATGGTATATTATGGGGTAGGGGGAGTTTTCTTTTTAAAAAGTAATAATGACGGCCGGGCACGGTGGTTCACGCCTGTAATTCCAGCACTTTGGGAGGCCGAGGCGGGTGGATCATGAGATCAGGAGATCAAGACCATTCTGGCTAACATGGTGAAACTCTGTCTCTACTAAAAATACAAAAAATTAGCCAGGTGTGGTGGCAGGTGCCTGTAGTCACAGCCACTCGGGAGGCTGAGGCAGGAGAATGGTGTGAACCTGGGAGGCAGAGCTTGCAGTGAGCCGAGATCGCGCCACCGCACTCCAGCCTGGGCTACAGAGTGAGATTCTGTCTCAAAAATAATAATAATAATAATAGCTAAAAGAAACTCATAAAGTTTAATATCAATGTGAAAAATTAGCCCCAAAAAGAAACTAGTATACATTATATGCTGTTTCTTTTCCAGTACACCAAATAATCATTTGATATTAGGTGCTTTACATTGTAAATCAGTTTGTTTATTTTAGATAGGTCTCACTCTGTAGCCCAGGCATGCATTTATTTATTTATTTATTTATTTATTTATTTATTTATTTATTTATTT